CCTTCATTTGGCCTTCTCTAATCTTTATGGTGTTTGCAAGTTGGTGTCAAAAATGTTAGTCAAGGCATGCTGTGTTACAGGTCTGTGGGGCAAAAACAGTCACAAGAGACTTTCCACCCAAGTCAGGAGACCACATTACCATTCTAACTACTTCCTATGGAAGTCACAGTTGTATCAACATCCTGCTGTTTTGTTTGTATTTAACTTGGGATATGACTCTCTACACTCTCAGCATGAATCCTACAATTAAACTSAAGCAGTCCACAGGTTACCAGAAAACAGTCCAGTGTTCTGCATTTGAAATGGTACAATCCTTGAGACAATCAGCTCGATATCTGAACATGTTTATAATACACATTACCACAGTTGAAACAAGTCAAAATAATCTTTCTAATAAAATTACAAAAAAATAGTAAGCTTTTTTCTGAATTTATTTTTTTCTTCACAGCTATTTATACACTGTTCTGTTATCTAACCTATGGAGTATAGATATGTTAAAGAGCTCACATTAAAGAAATTATCAAGAGTATCTTTCTCCAAATATAGGCTGAAATACAGCTGGAAAAATTCAGAAAAAATTAAAAAATATCCCTCTTTCAAGATAATACTTTMTTAACAATATAAGAAATCTGACCCYGGTGTGTTTGCTTAAACTTCAAAGAGACTCCTTTAATGTCATGTATCCACTGCTGCTCATTTAGCCTAGAACTATTCCCAGGGTAGGWGCTGGCTGATTTTAGAATATATTAGCATTTAAAAAGGAGCATAAACTAAGCAACTTTGCCCCCACCTTTTAGKGAAACACCTCAGGTTCCAGTGTAAGCAAAAGAACCAATTATCTCCCTTCCCACTTTTCTTTTTGGAAAAGATAGGTGCAGGGCAAAGCTCCGACTGGCTGGAACACAGAAAGCAGGCAGGTCTGTGGGGAAACCATCCTTTTAAGTGGTTTTAAGGAGTGAGTTCCACACATTCCAAAGAGAAGTTCCAACCTTAAATCACCTTGCCAGTTTCYCCTACCTTGCTATAATTGCTTTCCTCATCTTTCTGTACGGAAGAACCCAACAAAAAAAAAAAAAAGGAAATTAACTTCATGACTACATGCAAGTAAGAGTCCCTGCAATTTCGTCAGGGATTTTCCTGTCAGTGAGTGTCATGCCTCCGGCCTGTGCTTGCCCTGAACAGGTGAACTGCACACATAATTGCTCTGAAACATTCCAGATGCACTGGATTTACTACTCACACAGAGATTTCAGAAGCCCTTTTCACCATTTCTGTGCTCACAGCAATGAGGAAGAAACCACTGTTCTGTGAGTGTCAGAACCTCTCAGGGTGGAGCAATTAGGACATAAATTAAAGAAAACATGTTGAGCTCCCTCCCCAAGTGTCACTTTCTGATGGTGATGGATGGAAATAGTAATAGAAGAATGTAAGGCAGGGACATGAGCTGATTTGTCCAGGTGCTGGAAACACATCTAGATRGAYTCTCCGGACATCCAAGAGCCCTCGKCAGAGCTGCMRCTCCTGCTGAGCTGCTACACAGATGTGAAATCCCCMACTTCTACTCCAGTAAAATTTATAGATGGAAAAAGGGGGGATGTCTGCAGAAAACCAGATGAACAGCAAACTTTCTTATACTTCTGCCACCAGTACTTCATAAAGCGTTTTGACTTCCGTACAGATCCTGACTCTTTCATTTTAAATTTTACACAGTCTTTCCCTCAGGCTGTGACCCCTGACTTCCAGAATCCATTCAAAGACCTTCTGAAATATCCTCCAAAGTCCACTGAAGTCATTAGTTTGCCTTTCCATGCCTGAAGCTCCTGCATGGCAGGAGGGGACACAGACAAGGGGACAAGGCACACGCTCCTCCCAACAGGACAGGTTCCCTCCTCACCCCGTGGAGCTGCTCATGATCAGTTTGTCCAACCAAGCAGCTCCAAACCATGGTCTTGCACCCAAGGCTGGCATCAGTGCCCTGTCCTTGCCTGGCACAGCCCCTGGTAAAGGGCACTGTGTGTTCTGCACAGAGTGGCAGCAGCTGGGACCGAATGCTTGGTGGAAAAAMCAGTTTATCCCCTTCTTCCCACAAATATTTCATCCCTGACTAGACACAGGTGCCATTAAACAGATAAGCCTACTGAAAAAAAAAATGAAATAAGCAATACTCATTTGTTATTTTCAGTGAAAAAATAAACATACTTAAACAAAGGATGTTTAATTTTATCCTGCCACTGTAAGAAAATTTACTGAAAAATCTAATTTTAAATATATTTTTTTGGACAGCACAGCAGTGTTCTATTTTTCTTACTGAATAAAATAAMTAGTAGCTGGGGTTTTATTAGGAGATGTTAATGCTTCATTACTAATCATCTGATTTATTCCACATAAGGGAAAATATATTTTCTTCTGGAAATTTGTAGAGAATTTCAGGGCAAAGTCACTTCCAATGAAACTGATTTAGCAATACCCACAGGTGATGGCATGAACTCTATTAAAGGCAAGGAAATTGCCTTTCACACTCTTGGCAAGAATTTCATTCGGGATACTCTGAAAGCTTCAGAGCAGTGAGTGTGCYGAGTTAACAGAGGAAACACTCAGTAATTAACAACTGAATCTTGAAAATTAAGACTTGTCAGATGTWCAGGTCAAAACATGAAGTTCAGWCTTTTGGGGGAWTCATCACATGGCCACTCACAAAGGGCAATGTTTGTCACATGTAACTAGGTCACTAAAAAATCATCAAATTAATGCAAAAACACGATGAAATATTTTCGAACCTTGTATTTAAACAATAAATAGAGTCTAAATCCCAGAAAGTTAACTTAGAGATTTTCAACCAAGAAAACACCAAAGTTTGATAACAAAGTGTTTGGGGAGGCTTTAGCATTACAGTTTTTTGTTTTCAACTTTGGAGGTTGCAGTTGAGATAAAATGCRTATAATTTAAAACCTGAACTAACAAAAAGAGTGACAATCATTTTTATATCTTTTCCCCCACATGCCATTAGACTTTCTTTTATGACTTTTGGCTCTCCAGGTCAAACTTTATATCTTCCAAAGGGAAAATAATTTTGACCATTTCTGAAAAGATGATCTGTCCCACAGAGTAAAACCCACTTTCCATGAGGGCAGGCATTTATTTCCCATACATATATATATAAGGTAATTTTAATATTATATAAATACTCATTTATCTAGCCATACAGCTACCTAATTTTGTTACAAGCAGGTTTATGAGTTTTGGAAGGAACCACCACACAGGAAAGGAGATCTGTATGAAAGCATTGTGGTCATGAAAGTATGCTCCACAAATATGGCATTTCTGAAACATCTGACAAACCCCCACCACATCACAGCGCTGAAACTTCTCCTGCCCTCAAGCTCTTCACATTACAAAATGAATAAGCTTTTCTAGGCAAGCCTTGTGAAGTTCTCAGGAGGTTGTGCTCCTACTTGCGCACTCTCACAAAACAAAAACAATGTCTGGAAAAAGTAGTCTTAGGATAGATTTCCAAATACCAAATTTAAAGTTCAGGCCAACTGAAATATTTCTATGGATGATAAATAATTTTCTTTAAAAAGCATTAATATGCCTTTTGTCACACCAGGCAATATAGATTTTTTAAAAGCATCACTTATTAAAAAATAAAAAGTGCATTTTTTTTCTATGTTCAGAGATAGAAAAWGCACAAAGCAATAAGACAATTAGGCAAAATGATGGATTTGAACACATGCTGCATTTTACTGTTAGCATGTATGCATAACTTCCATTAAYGTCAGTATGAATTATGTGTGCACTGCTAAAATAATATGACCATAACAAAAATATTTCCTCCAGAACTAATATAGCAATATTTTAAGAGACATTTTGAAAAAAAAAATCACAGATCACAAAGTAACATGAAAATGCAACTCCTTCTTAAACTTATACTTTCAGACTCTTTAAAATAAACATTTTTTTCAAAAACTGGCATCTAGTTAAGTTGATTTTACCAAATTACCTTTTTTTTAATGCGCACTTATCTAGCTTCCAGTTCAAAAAGACCAACCAGATATTAACAAGATTAAGCTGTTATCCATTTTTATTCTAAGCTTCCATAAATAACTGAATGTATATGGGAACAAGAAATGACAGTTGAAGAAGTTATCTAAAACTGACAACTGATTGTGGCCAGGAAATTAAGATGGATCTTGACAATGACAGCCAGATGGGCCCAGAATGCAGAGTTATGGTTGGAACTTGAACATTATATAAGCATAGGAAATCATCATGAATACTCTTAAACACACACTTCATGCCTATTTTACTGAAACCAGCAGCCAAAAACTGTAATCACTCAATACTGATTTTTTTTTAATAAATGATAAATAGAAATTATGGTCAATGCTTCCAATTAATATCTTAAAATGTCAGTGGTAAGACACATTTGTTTAGTATAATATTACAACAGAAAATAATCATTATTCTGTCTTCAGATGTCTCTCTTTTTTCATTCTGAACACATTTATRCTGTGATAAAGTGTATGCAAATGGRTTTTTGTTAGTTTGGGGCTGKTTTTAACCAATTCAAAGCAATAAAGTTTGCACCATTAAGAGAAAGTTAGTAACTCCCTTTCCCTGAATGTGACACTAGCAGAGATTCCAGCACTGCATTCCTACTGAGAGATGGGACTTTCAATTCTCATTTTCTCATAGAAGATATTTTTGCACGTAGCAAAGATCAACTTTCAAAAAGTGTTGAATATTTCTAAAATGAAGAATTTTGCATTTCCATGCTTTTAAAGGAGTTTAAGTATCTTAAAACTATTAGAAGTCCTTAGATTCAAACTTAAATATATGCAGAGAAAAATAAAAAAAAAAATTTAAAAAAAACCAACCAAACAAAAAAAAAACAAAAAACACCACCCTAGAAAGAAACACATCAAATCCTTCTCCTATGGCCAAAGTAGTTATTTTCTATTTTTTCCCCCCCTAGAAATTAGAGAAATCAAGGTACTTACTTCATTTCTAGAATTTCTTCAAGCTGTTTCCTTCGCTCTATTCTCAGGTTTGCCAGATGTGCTTCTTTTTCAGCCAAAGACTGCTGTGTCGAGGCAAGACGAGCTTTGGTGGAATCCAATTCTTGTCTAGTCTTTTCCAGGGCATTCATCAGCTCTTCTACCTGAGAGAGAGGACATTTTAAGCCCCATATTCAACATGAAAATATTAAATACATATAAATACGGGGGGAAAATCCCACTAAAGGAATTACTTTATGTAAATGGCTGTTCAAATMTCTTCCTACCATAACTGTTTTAAAAAGTAACAACAGTGGTGTTTCAAAGCCAAAAAAGCACCCCTCAAAGTTTCCATGAATCCATTAGTAATAAACAATATTTATACAAAACAGAACTAACACAGATCACCAGTAACCTATTTAACCTGGGCCACTGCCATATTCAGACACAATTTAAAAATTTTCCTGCAGCATTTGTATTATTTTAAATTCAGGGTGGTGGTAACTCAACATAGCAGTAATGTCAGAAATTTCAGATGCAGATATAGATACATGTTTTAACATAAGAGTGTTCATGAAAACCCAGCTATTTTTCATAAAAAATGCACACCTGTGCAGAACAGGTTGCCCAGGGAAACTGTAAACTCTCCAGTCCCTGAGTATTTTTACATTTTGATTGAATGAAGCCAGGAGAATCCAATCCAACCTTGAAGTWATTCCTGCATTGAGTAGGGGGTTATCCTGCACTGCCTTTAGTGGTCCCTTTTAACGAAATTATTCTATCATCCTGATTTAAAGGTCTATAACTGCTCTAACAACAACCAAGTTATTTTCCCCCTGATCACARTGAGAGGCCCTAAAGCATGAAGTGTAGGAAAGTTGTGGTGATCCCACTCTTTCCTCAGCTTGGGGAAATGTCAACTGAACGTAGGATAAATTGCTAAAAACTGCATCTAGTTTCTGCTAAGCTTCCACTCTATTATGTAATTCCAGACAAAATGTATTAATGGAAGCTGTAGTACGGATCAGAACTGAAAAGTCATTAATTCATACAGATTCCAGCTTTGAGACCATGACTTCAAACACCAAGACACTCCACACTTACAGATTTGTTTGGCAGATGAGAGTATAAAAAGGAATAATTGTTTCACTTCTGTATTTTTAGTATCATGTGCTCCTTTTCCATGTTCAGCTGAATTTGGTACCCAACCTGATGACTGACTGAATTCTCACCCAAGTCCATAGCACATTTGTCACATAATTTACATTTCAAAACATTTAAGAGAATTAAAGACTTGTGGAAAACAAAGCTGTGGATTTGTTAATGTCTATTAATAACATACTCWTACATTACCAGACAAAAGAGATCAAAGTTGAAAAGAGAGCGGAAAAAAAACTTTAAAAACTTAAATATGAAAACTTTTTCAAACCACAAATCGTTAACACGTGTCAACTTGAAAGTTTTACTTTCATTTACACTTTCAACATGGTATTTGCCAGCTGGTTCTTCCTTCATTTGTTGAATACGACCCAAGCTCATAGCTGCACGCTTTCCTGGTTAAGTGTCCCCCYAACACCTACAGCCCAATCCAACGGCAGCAAGCACACAAGGAACTGATTCTTTATTCTTTTAAATCAACTGCTATCAAATGTAAATGAGTGAATGTTAAAGTTGCTCATACAATCATCTTTCCATATTGATTATTTAACAGATGTGTTACAATGGAAAATTAACCAATGAAGGCAATATATAGAATAGATAAAAATTCTGGTTTTGGGCAATCACYGCCCTGCCCAGCTCCAGGAGGGAGCAGCCCCCTTTTCCCAGTCCTGCCCCTCAGTCTAACTGCTCCTAACTACAAACCCTGCAGGTTTTCAATTCATAGGAATACATGTTTTGAAAGAGTTTATGGTGAGAACCTCACTGAACGCACAGTCCTTAGCTTGGGAGTATTCCATGCCCTGAATATGTTATTAACTGGGTTTTCTTACCTTTTGCCAGACAATGGCCTCATTTTATCCTTTGCATTTTGTAATAAAAGCCWTTTTTTTTTTCATACTTTCAGAAAGCTTAACTGACCTCGGCACTTTGAGGATTTTATTAAAATCTGCACTAGAATTAAGTTTACATTTCAGAATGGCAGAAACCCAGCAAACTAAACTATTGCAATTGTTTCTTAGTTTTGAGTCTATTTTAAATGAATGCTTTCTATTTGTTCTGCAGCTTCACTTTTCCAAGTSCTATCAGCAGCGTTTCACACCAAAACAAGAAAAGGAAAAGAAATGAATGTGGCTGAAGTATACATCTGCTTTACCAGATTCTGCAAATTAAAGGAGGTTAGAGTTCAAATGAATGACAGTTTATTAAAAATGCCCTGGAGCATTCTTAATTCCAGATTGGATTCGGCTCAGTACAACTCAGGCTAACATAATACTGTTCCAGTTTGTGGGAATGAGGAGGGGGAGGGACAATTGCACAATTTCTCAGGTCAAGTATAATATATTTCTGCAGGATGACGAAGAGCTGGCTACATTCCAGCAGTCAAGGTTAGTATGGTTAGTACTACTATCTTTAAAGGGTTGGCACTTCATTTTAGCAACGGTATTGGTGATAAATACAAGAGTTTTGGATTTCCCTAACTGGCTTTTTCAAGTATCAGTAGCTATTCAAAAATCTCATACCTACTTTATTTTAAAACCTAATCTTGTGTTAGCACACAGAGATCATTTATGAATGTTACACAGTAAATGGAAATAAAGAAATCCATCTATTTACTCAGAGATTCTTCTACTTTAATATTAAAGTATTAACCATGACATTTTTTTAAAAAGTTTAACAAACAATTACATTCATTCAATATAGTTGGATGCATTTTGATAATAAGTCATTCCATGTAAGARTCCATCCAGTTGTTTTCAAAGGGTTTTTTCTTTTCCATTTCCTAAGGAAATGCCTTTTTTTTCTCCACTCCAAGTTACACACTATATAAATTTCACTTATCTCCAGCTCTGTGAAGATTAATCGAATAAAAATAATATTTGGGGGGTTTTCCCCCAAGATTAAGCATGAGACTGCAAAAAAGGAAAGACTATAATCCTAAAACTTTCTCTTTGTGGCTTTCCTACAAATTTATTCTGTCACTGGACTAAGAGGAAATAGAAAGCACATTCACAGAGATGAGGGAAAACAGAAAAAAGCCTGAATTCGTAGACACCAAATACCCACTCACCAGCTCTTTGGACTCTCAGGCTGGAGACCTCAGCTTTTCACATTAGCATTATGTCTCCACTTCAGTGAAGGTGAGTGCCAGGATCCGTGCAGGGAACCACTTCATCTCATGAAATATTTCAATSACACCTACAGGAGGGCCAGCACCAGCCATGGGCACCTACTGCTTTTAAAATTGCCAATGCTGTCCTGCWCTATGGTTTGTAAATAACTTGTTTCTTCCTGTTTCTGGCAATTTCTCCAATGTGCAACTGGCCCAACAGTTTCATCACAAAGGTGCTTTTCACAAAAGCAAGCAGACACAGCAAAGTGTCATGCTGAGCTTTGCAAGGCAGGGAAATGAACCCTTTGTCACCCTCCTCTCTACTCTCTTCCCATCCCATTTGTGATCCATAGACAAATTCCTCACCTCTGACTCCCAGGAAGGTCCTAAACCCAGGAAACAGGTCTAACAAAACCAGTATAGCTATGGAGGATGATGCTCCTGAACCTCTCCAAAGAAATCAGACACATGTTGTGTCTCACARCTTTGGAAATTGTCAGAGAAAAGTAACCATATGCAGGAACCACAGTCAGGGTAAGATACTTTAGTTTCCTTCTTATTTCCTTGCTGGCTGTCACCTGGTGATTACCATGTTAATTATTAGTCACATTAATTTATATACACATGGTGTTATGWCAGAGACATATGTCTGTCTCTATGCTGAATTATTCTAGAATTCAGTGGATACCTACAGCTTAAAATAAACATCTATTCTAAGTGAAAGGATAACTAATSTTGTGGGCTTTATTAAGTTAATTTAAGATTTTGCAAGACTGTTCTGGGAACTGTATTTAAGTGGTTAACTTCCCTGGTACTGGCAATTAGAACTTTGATCATTGTATTCTAAGCCTCAGTAACTGAATAAAATATAGGATCACAACAATGTAATACTTGGATTCATTATCTGTGATCTGGTTTTCCAATTCATACGCTGATTTCACCTGAAAAATATTATCAAATCCTTTTGGAAAATATTGGTCATAATCATTTAAATAGAGCAACAATCAGTTTAAAGAGCCCAACCAAACCAACAACTRAAAGCAATACCAAATTTTTACATTTTTTAATTCAATCAAACAAAATTATGACATAAATAATGGTAACATCTCTGCTCTAGGGTCATGGTTCTAGACAGGTGAAAACAAAAGCTATTCTCAAGTACAAACAAGAATGATGCTTCCCCTGCAGCCCCAGGAATAGTGTAATCTATTTAAACACCTCATCTTGTGAAACATAGCTGCTCCTCAGTTACAGTATTCTCAACTGGTTTTAGCTAAAAGGCACTGTCTGACAACCCACGGACAAAATGTGAATGTAACCTTCAGGAAAACTGAAAAAGATGGGCAAGAGAACAGAATCCTCCTCACAGATGCAGCTGGAATGTTTTKTCCCAAATAGTTTTCATTTATAGCAGAACACTGTCATATATGTGATGAAGCAAATAATGTCACATTCTGATATTTCAATGCCATATACATTTAAAAATAAAAACCTCAGACCATGTCAATAAAGATACAGTATTTAAAGTACTGCAAGGATCAGTCAACAAATGTTCTGTCTCCAAGGCAAACTTAATGCTGACAAGGCCTAATTCACTCTTGGCCCCGTTCAACTGAGTCACCCAGACATGCTCTGTGATGGAAGCAAGACCAAGCGCCTGAGCAACTGTGCAAGTCTGCTTTTTACCAAAAAAYAACAACAACAAAAAAAAAGTAGCATCTTTTAATTTTGGCATTTAGTCTGAAAATTACTTTGTTCACTGACATATCTTGTTCATTTTCTCTCCTTCAATCGAGCTTTGTTTGAGCAAGTCTGTGATCTTTCTAAACAGCTGGTAGCCTTAGCAATGCTCTTACACTTGTTTGATACTGTCCAAACCAAATTACAGAGGTA